CTTATGGAAACCCATCATTGTCTGAATATGATTGGCACAAGTCACCCCAAGGTAAGTGATATGGTTTGGCTCTCTGTCTCCACCCAAGTCTCATTTCAAATCGTAATCCCCATGTGTCAGAGGAGAGACCTGGTGGGAGGTGATTGGATCATGGGGATGGTTTGCCCCATGCTGTTCTCATGATAGTGAGGGGGAGTTCCCTTGACAGCTGATGGTTTAAAAGTGACAGCTTCGCCTGCACCTGCTCTCTCTCCTGCCCCCATGTAAGACGTGCCTTGTTTCCCCTTTGCCTTCCACCATGTTTGTAAGTTTCCTGAGAAACGCCCCCAGTCATGAGGAACTGTAAGACAATTAAACCTCTTTTGTCTATAAATTACCCAGTCTCAGGCAGTATTTTTATAGCAGTGTGAAAACAGACTAATACAGTAAGACTTAAAGGACAGTGACCAAAAAGTCAACCCTGGAGAAGGAACATGTCCAAGACAATCCAGCCATTGCCATTTTCTCTTGGCCTCTGGTGTGGTTACTAGTGCAGAACCTGCTTAATATATAATTACAAAGTTTTATTTTAGATGTATAGTTTGTTGTCTTCTGGGGATCAGGGTGTCTTCATTAGGAATCTTCTGGTTGCACGTGACAGAAACTCAATTCAAACAGGCATTAGCCCAAGGGGAATTCGTTGGCTCATGTGGTAGAAGCATATGGGGGAAACTTAAATACTTGAAAGTAGAACTATTAATACCTTCCAGCACCTAGTACAGTGCCTGGCACATAGTAGGTATTTTAGGGATATTTGTTAGATTAACTTGTTGAATGAGTACAGAAATCAGGACCTCAGTCTGACGTCAGGGAACTCAGTATCACCTGGACTCTGGTTTCCCATTCAATTCTCATCTATGTAAAACTTGCTTTTCAGTTCTATATGTATAGGTGTGTCCTGGATCCTCAGCTCCTGGTCCTCAGCTCCTCTTTAAGTTAGACCTCATTCATCTCCATCAGAGTTAGGACTTGTCCACAGGCCAAAGAACATGGCCAACAGCAGGCCCACGTGAGCCCTCTGCTTAGCCACCTCATTAGGAAGTCTTGCTTCCTCCCTGGGTCCATCTCTAATGAGGGGGAAGGACTCTGGCCAGTCTAAATGGAGCACATGCCCACACTCGGACCAATCATTTTTACCACAGGGGACAAGACTGAGTCACCTGTCTATCCCGTGGCTAATGTCTGTGTTGGTGGGGACAAGATGCACTGATCAAATTTTTTCTGAATATTCGTATAATTATTACGATGATGGAGTGTGGAAGCAATCAGACTGGTGAAAGATAGAAGGCACTGCAATCAGTTAGGAAGCTCTCTAAGGATCACTGTATGCGGTGATGAAGGTTGAATCAGAGGCAGAGACTGAAAAATGAAAAGAAAGCAACAAGCCAGGCACGGGGGTTATCCCTGTAATCCCAACACTTTGGGAGACTGAGGCAGGAGGATTGCTTGAGCCTGGGAGGTTGAGGCTGCAGTGAGCTGTGATCACGCCATTGCAGTCTAGCCTAGGTGACAGAGCGAGACCCTGTCTCAAAAGCAAACAAATACAAAAAAGGAAGCAACAGAGGAGAGAGACAAGGGAATGCTGGAGCCACAAGGCAAATCTGTGAGCAACAAGGAATAGATTAATGAGGTCCTCTATATAATGATGCATGTGGAGAGAAGTCACTTAGAACTCTTACCTTTCAGCCCCATCGCCTGTAAGATAACCGTTAGCCTCATCCTTCAAGAGATGTATGCCTTTTCAGGGAGGGATAGATATTGCTACTTGGAAGGGAAAACCGTTGGGATATAAATGATCACACTCTCTATTTGGTCTCCACTGGGGCAGAGAATGGCTTTAATTATCAGGGAGAAGAAATACCTTTAAACGGCCGGGCGTGGTGGCTCACGCCTGTAATCCCAGCACTTTGGGAGGCCGAGGTGGGTGGATCACGAGGTCAGGAGGTCGAGACCATCCTGGCTAACACAGTGAAACCCCGTCTCTACTAAAAATACAAAAAATTAGCCGAGCGTGCTGGCGGGCGCCTGTAGTCCCAGCTACTGGGAGGCTGAGGCAGGAGAAT